ATAACACATGAGCAGCAGCCACAGATCATGAGCTCAGAGCTCAAGGTTAATAAGTATCCTGATTTCTACCAGTACAAGTTAATTTTATGTGTTTTTGAACTTTAAGTATATTTCACAATATTGTAGCTCAATTATTTTTTTCTTTCACCTAATTAGCATAAATTAATTAAAATAGAGAATACCACTTACCTTCTGTTTTTATTTTGTCTTGTTAGCTGGCTTAGGTTGGTTATTAATTGTGATCAAAGATGAATATTATTTGACAGTTTTGAGCTAAGTTTAATATCATTAATGTGAGGTCATAGCCACTGGGGCATTGTTAAGAAGAAACAACAAAAAGTGTTTTTTAAAAAGTATGACTAAAGAAATTCTCCATATGCTTTTGACTCATGTCTGAATCATATGTTTCATACCACAAGAATGGACCTGCTTGATTCATTACCATTTTCAGTAAAATAATTACTGCAGTTTGCAAATTTATGGATTTCTAATTGTGTGGTTCATTACTGATAAATTGCGTGTGTGTCTGTCCCTTGGTTAATAGTAAGGTACCAGGTTCTTTGTCTAATCTCCAAAATGCTCATTACAAAAGGGCAAACTATGGTAATAAAATACTAATTTTCTACAAGTAATGTAGTGGAAAAGGAGAAGAACTAAAATTGGAATTAAACTCATTTTAAGAATTTTGGTCCAAGGACAGGGTATTTAGCTCAGTGGTGCTGCCCCCTGCCTCACAAGTGCAAGGTACCAAGTTTGATCCCTAGTTTTAAAAAAATCCAGTACAAGGATATTGCTGCATGATTCTTTTTGATAGAAAGGATTTAAATATTTGATTAAGCCCTTCATTTCTCTACTTCTTTCCCGTAAGGAAACTATGGTTTGAGGATCGGTATCATTTCAAAGAAAATAAAACAGACCCAATAAAGTGAATTGTAAGAGCTTTATGAAAAAGTAAATTGGTCAACCTTCTTTATTCTTACTACCAATGCAATTCAAATGTTTAGAGACACAGTTACTATAGATCCAAGACATGTGACTTTTTTTTTTTTTTTTTTTTTTTTTTAACCGGGGATCAAACGCTCCTTGAGCTTGAGAGGCAGGCCACCGAATAGCTGAGCTAAATCCCCGGCCCCATGTGACTTTTTTATTGTTAGAATTGAAGTGACCTTGGGCTGGGATTTAGCTCAGTGGTGCCACAGCCTGCCTCACAAACATAAGGCCACCCCGAAAAAAAATTAAGGTAGCCTGGACCAAGCATAAATAATGGGGCTGACAACTGTAGTATTCTCCTTTTTTCGTGTTTCTGTTCTACTTCACAAGAATAAAGGGCTTCCTATAAATGTTAAGTCCCATCCAAGCTTAGTCTCATCCCTAGTAAACTACACATTCCCTTTTTGAAGTCCTGGAGAATAAACACTATCTGTACCTACTCAGTTTAGAACTAAAGATTTGATGAAATGGCATATTCACATGTAACTTCCTCTTGAAAGAAAGAGACAACAGTTGCATAAAAATATCCACAGCTGCAGTTGAAGAAGATAACTGAAAGGGAGTACAGAGTTAAATCAAACTGACAGAAAGGTCACAGAAGTCATAAAAAAACTTCATTTAAAAACCTGGAGGGGCCGGGGATTTAGCTCAGCTGTTCGGTGTCCTGCTTTGCAAGCGCAAGGACCTGAGTTCAATCCCCGGTACCAAAAAAAAAAAAAAAAAAAAAAAAAAAAAAAAAAGCAAAACTGGAATTTGGCCCCACAGAACAGATTCCACCACAGTATATGTACAGTATAGAAGAATCTAATCTTGAACAATGAGTGGTTAGCCCTAATAAAAAAAGGAGTTACCAGAAGTCACTCAGACATCTGAAAGTCTTGGCTACAAACTGACTGTAAAAAATCATCTTGCCTCCTGTTTTCATCATTCAGAAACTTATACTTAGAATTTAGGAATTGCTCCTTGAGAAACTTTGTGTTACTAATTAGGAATGGTCCTTACTTAAAAGAGTTAAGGAAGCCTGTGGGGTCCAGATTTCTTTACCTACTGTACCCTGCTACCTGAGTGCAGAGGAGGAGGGTGTAGACCTGTGGTATGTGTCTAGGTTACTAGGGAAAGGAAAAGGGCAGGCCTGTCACCACCACCTTTTACCCTTCAGCTCAACTTTGCTCTGGTCCACTTGGTTCAGCCTATGATTTATTCTGCCTACTAGTCAACCACTCTCCTAATTTCTGTCAGAAAAGTCTGTCATTTAACCAAAGATGAGAAGAAAAAGAAAGAACAACTAACATTTGGTATTATATGCTCAGCAACAGTGTAGGGACAAGGGTACAGCGAAATTTTAAATAGTCTCTGAAAGAGCAGGAATTAGGGAGAGTTAAGTGAAGGAGGGTCATGCAAGTGAAGAGTCAGTACCTGCCTTTATTTAAAATCTTGATATTTTGTTTATCATGGATACTCTTTATTTTGATCAATGAATGTTTTTGCTGCCCTCTTAAATTTTGCACCCAAGGCTAGTAGCCTCGCCTACTTCACATAGTCCTCACCCTGCTCAGGAAAATGAGACTGAGAGGTCAAATAGCTTGCTCATGGGCATCCAACTAGAAAGTTACAGGGGTGAGATTTGAAGCTAAGTTGATGTGGATTTTTTCACTAAATCATCAGTCTTCTAACATTCTTCATAAAAGAATATTTTGTGCCACTCATGATCATTAATCCATGAAATAAATGTACATTTACTCATACAAAAGTGAGAGAAAAGGCTTTGTTCAGAACCTAGAGTGTGTGAACTATTCTAAATGCCAATTCTTCTGAGGTCAGGTTGGCTTTCTGTCTGGTTCTTATAATATAACCCACCTTTTTTATCCATGAGGGATTAGTTTTAGGCTTCTCCCTAAGAATACTAAAATCCTTGGATGCCCAAGTTTCTTCTATAAAATGGCATAGTAGTTGCATATTGTCTATGCACATCTCATAGTTTAAATAATCTCTAGATTAATCATATCTAAAACAATGTAAATGCTACATAGTATATCTATATGGAATAAAAAGACAAAAGTCTGTACATGTTCATACAGATGTAATTTTTCCCAACTATTTTCAATCTGCAGTTGGTTGATTCCATGTATGCAGAAACTGTAGCTATGGAAAGCCAACTGTATTGTTATGCATCTGGTGCCTCTGTGTACACACACACGTACACGCATGCACACAATAGTGCATACACATAGGATTGAATCCAGGGCCTTACATATGCTAAGCATGTGTCCTACTACGAAAGTGCACCTACAACCCCACTAGTCTCATCTTAAAACTCCTCTTGGCCTCCAAGACCTTATCTCTCTTCGCTTTCCTCCCACTTTTTTTTTTAACTGTACTTTCTTCTGTCTGTTTTATGGATTTACTTCCTCTTCCCGTTTCTTAAATGTCTGTCATGCTATTTTTTCCCTGAGAATACTGATGACTAACCATAATTGATCCTTAGTGCAGATGTCTAACTGAGCTGCCTATCACTTATCTCCACTTGGATGTCTTAGAGATACCATAATTCAATAAACCTTAAATTGGGTTACTCCTGCTCCTGGTCCTCACCTGTTACTCCCAAAATACCATTGTTTGCATATCTGTTTCCCCCCACCACACTAAAAGCTTCTTGATCCTTAGTTATTTCTGTATCTCTAATGCATAAGCCATAGTAGATGTTCAATAAATATTTGTTGAATTAAAATTAATTAACTGGAATCAGGCTAACCAAAGTATTGAAAAGTTCTAAAGCTCATCTCAGTGAACATTACAATAATACTGTTTTTCTGTATTTTAGACATTTGAGGGATGATACCTGCATACATTTTTATTTTTCTATTCACTCAGCAATTTATTTATTTTTATAGATTCCACAAATAAAAACTGCAGCTCAGCTCTTTTTTTGACATATCACATATTTCAAATTAGAGAAGTCCAAATCAGTGAGGCTTTACCATATTATACATTGCCTTGTTTCATTTTGTTTGGTATTCATATACATCTGGGTTTGGATAGGCAGGTATTAAAACCATGGATGTGTCTAACACATAACAGTTTTTATGGGTCCAGTGAATTTTATTTTATTTTATTTTTTGTATCAGGGATAGAACTCAGGACTTTGTGCTTGCAGGACGGGTGGTGGAACCACTGAGCTAAATCCCCAGCCCCTGAATTTTCTTTTAAATTCTTAATGTTTATGATTTTTTTTTCTCATTGAATTTATTGGTACATTTTAGGTATACAGTACAGTTACATTCATTGTTGGGATCTTGTACCTTTACATGACAGGTGTTGGTTTTCATTTTTTCCCCTTATCCCTGCCCTCCACCCCCTAATGTTTATGATTTTTAATCAGCAACTATTTTTCAACTATGAAGCCAAATTCTTTGCTTTATTACCCTTGGTGCTTGTCTTATACTGTTATGACTACTCTTTAAAATAACACAAACTGGTAACTTATAAACCACAAAAACTAATTTCTCAGAGTTCTAAAAGCTGGGAAGTCCAGAATCAAAGTGCCACCAAATTTGGAGTCTGGTAAGGGTCCTCTTTCTAGCTCATAAATGGCACCTCCTGGTTGTGTCCTTGTGTGGTAGAAGGGGCAAGGCAGATCTCTCAGACCTTATAAAATAAAAGCTCTAGTTCCATTCACAAGGGTTCCACCCAGTAACCCAATCAATTCCGAAAGGTCCCATCTACTAGTACCATCATCTTGTGGGTTAGGATGTCAATATGAATTTTAGGGAGCACAGACATTCAAACCATAGCAATGCTGCTACAAAATTTTACATGATAAGGAGCCTAGCAGATTGCTTATTTTATCTTAAATACAAGGCTATTATTTAGAGAACAAAGTGAAAAACAGGATACCCTTGGCTGATGTGGAAGGGCAATAGTAAGGAAGGAGGCCTCTGCTTGTGTTTTCTTCATTCTAATGTTAAAATCATGGTTAATGCAGTAATTTCCTTATGGTATCCCCACTCTAGAAACGTGCTTACAAGAGCTATGTCAGAGCCCTTCCTCTGCTGAAGAAAATGGGCATTAATTCCATTCTCCTCCGAAAAAGCATTGGTGCCCTTGAAGTAGCCTGCGGCATCGTCATGACCCTTGTTCCTGGACGTCCCAAAGATGTGGCCAACTTCTTCCTACTCTTGCTGGTGTTGGCTGTGCTGTTCTTCCACCAGCTGGTTGGTGATCCTCTCAAGCGCTATGCACATGCTCTGGTGTTTGGAATTCTACTCACCTGCCGCTTGCTGATTGCCCGCAAGCCTGAAGATCGTTCTTCTGAGAAGAAGCCATTGCCAAGGAATTCTGAGGAACAACCCTCCTTATATGAGAAGGCGCCTCAGGGCAAAGTGAAGGTGTCATAGGAAAGTGGAAGGGCAAACTGGGGACCTGGGAGGCAGCTGGCCTCAGTGACAGCTGGGAAGATGTCAGTGTGTGTTTTTAATTTGATTTATCTTGGGGAGAAAAGGGAAAATATAATTTGCAATTTAATTGGCTTGTATACATCTATACCCCAAAATAACCTCCCCACATTGACATTTGTGAACCATCTTTAATCACTCCGGGGCAATGCTCACATCTTGCTGCATGTACACGTATATGGTTACTATTGAAGTGTATTTGTGAGATACATTCCAGCAAGCATGTGACTGTGAGATTATGTGTGGGAAAATGAATTTACCTACTGTATGTGTGTATGCACACATATGTGTAGAAGGCTCTCATCTTGAACTAATCCTGCATAGGTATCCTTCCTTTTATATATTGATTCCAGCAAAGGTAGAATAAAATAAATCTCCTGTAAAGAGAATCCTACTTCTGGTATAAAACAAATTACCTATTTACATGTGGGGAGGGATTACTCTCTAGATGAAGCTGAAAACTTAAATTCACCACTTCAGGAAAAAACTCTTTGACTTGAAACCCTGCATTATGTGTAAAATTAGCCTCTATTTCAATAGTTAAGTTTCAACATTCAGTGTAGAGTATAATTAAAACAAAGAATTCACCAGGCATGGTGGCACAAGCCTTTAATCCCAATCTCAGCCCTCCGGGAGACTGAGGCAGGAGGATCGCAAGTTTGAGTTCAACCTGGACAATGTGGTGACTTAGTGAGATCAGCTCAAAATAAAAATATAAAAAGGGCTGATAATAAAACTCAGTGTGAAGGCCCTGGATTCAATCCCCAGCACCAAAATCAAATTAAATTTAAACAGATATCCATGTAGCTAGATAGTCTAATTCGAGTGATAAAATAGGAAATTTCATCTCACTGTGTCTGAGCCCAACCTACTCAGCATTTTACTGATACAAGTTTGAAATGGAAGCAATGGAAATGTTACTGAATATCGTCAGATTTTCTGAAGGCTAAGACTGTCTCACTTGCACTATTCCCAGTAGCTAACAGGATTTGGCAGCTGATCCACTGTTGTGGTTGAGGGAGCAAGGGCTGGTCCTATTAGAAGTCTGAATCTCAAACACTAGCTGTTCTCTGAAACCATTCGCAATTTGACAGATGTGCTGTATCCAGTGCTTCCCTGCAAAACAGATTCACTACTGCTATTGATTATTTGCTGAAGTTTGCTAGTGAAATCAGAGTCCAAATCAGTCAGGTAGTTGCCTCTGCTATGCCTTTTTATCATTCCTGTGAATGGAGTTTAGCTGGGGGAAGGAAATTTGACATGGGTTAGTTGGATTAAGCAGTATGGAAATTTGTTTGTTTGCTTGTTTTTTCATTGCATACTGCTGTTTTTCCTCGTTAAATATGCTTCAATGGTTTTAAAATTATTGTGCTAGGGATGGGGGAAGGGGCAGGGGGCTATGTGTGGGGAGAGTACTTATTATTGTATTTTCTTCGGTGTAATTGTTCCCAGTGATTGGTATTTCTCTCATTCTTTCAAAATAAATTTTTTTTGAAATTTGGAGAAAATTGTCTGGTTATATACTAAGAATCTGGAAAGAAAGGGTCAAATAAAAACACTCAGGATCTGTTTTCTTAAATCTGGTTAAAGGAGAAGAGAAGGGAGAGTACAATGTAGTCACTTAATATACTAGTGAAGTTGTCAATTTGCTAATCCCATTTAAATTCCCTCACACCTTTTTTATGTTAGCATGCAAAACAGAAACCCATAGAGTTAGGATCTCAATACAATAGCCAGGTTTGGGGAGTTATTAGGTGACACCAAGGGAAGATAGAAATATTATTTCAGAGAAAACTGAATGTATGTTAAATAAATGCAAACCACTACCTCTCATTATATGTGTCCACAAAGTGCCACAAATTAGGCAAGTTTCACCATATACAAAAAGACAGGTATTGAAGCCTTAAAATCTCTTCCAGTTTACATTTCTCTGAGCCTATTAAACAATTAAAAGCATGAAAATGACCCAATAAATTTTCAGTTTTACTGAAGATCAGCTATCATAGAAAAAGTTGTCCTTTAAATTTTTCCATGCACGTTAAATAAGACTCCGTGAAACTACCCTGAAAGCCATATAAATAAAAGATGTAGTAAATTGTCATTTCTGGTGGGGTCTTTCCCAAATACTATGTGCCAATTTAATCTTTGATTTTTCATCTTTCTCTAAGATTGAAGTTTCCCACTAGTTTTGCCTAGTTTACAGGTATGTTTTGGCCTCAAGTCAGGGAGAGCCATTACATTTGTATGCTTCCTCTCTTATTCCTATTAGTAAGCTTAAATTAGGGATAAGTTCAGATCTCAGACTAAGACCCTGTTGCTATTTTAGCCAGTTTCTTTAAGGTCAATTAAATCTCCAAGTTTAAGAATATTTACATGTTGACAACCGGCTTAACTTCGAGATGACTCAACATCTGGCTCAAGACACAATTTCCAGAAAACCTTGGAGGTTATCCGTATACATCCTCTGTAAAAGGAAGGCAGATTCAGCTGTTCTTTCCTCGTACCTAGCTTCACAGGAAGACAGACTCTTTAAGTCCCTGTAAAGGAGAAGCCGCCTTTATTGTGAGGTTTGCGGTTTACTTCTTCCTACAAAGTCCGGAATTTGGAGTCAACCTGAGCAAAATGAACTCTACAATTGATCAAGTTAAATTCAAGAATCAAGACATTGTTTTGTTTTAGGAAAAATGACGAATAGCAATCTTTATTAGAGCAGAGAAAAGCGCCAGTCAGATGACCCCACCCTCTACAACCCACTTGAGGCCCGCCCCCGGCCTAGGTGGGTGGGGCAAGCAGCTTCCGTAAATGGTTTGCGTCATTGCCGGTGCGGGCGACTCCTCCCGCCTTAGAGCTCCATTCTAACCAATCAGGCTTCAGTAGAGCGCGCCGCTCTACCCAACAGCTACCTAGTTCTTTTCAGAAGCGCATGCGCGGGGTGGGGCCCGCGCCTTTGAATTTTGGAGGCGGCTTTTGGACGCCGGAGGTTGCTGGACCGAAGAGGGTGTCAGGTAATAATATCGCGCTTAATGGAGGTCCCTGAGAGCGAAGGGGATATGTTGACTTCTGAGGGCGGATCTGCCCTGTAAAGTATAGTTGAGAGTCAAATTTTCCCTCTGCCTAGTGAGTGGGGTCGTCTTTGCCAATTTCGCTTTTGGCTGGGATAGGCTGTGAAAATGACCCTGGGGAAGTGCTGGGGTGGTTCACCCGAATGGGCTCAAAGACTGCCCCGCCCTCCTTTCTTTCATAGGAGTCTAGGAAACATCTCAGAACTGGAAACTTCTGCTCTGGCCCCATTAGTTTCTAGGGAGGTGGGTTTGAGTATCACTTGAAGTTTATCCCATTTGAAGCCAAATTTAGAAATCTTGGTTCTTCACTTTTTCCTACACATCATTCTTTTATCACAGCCTGTTCAATTTACCTCCCAAGCAATATCATGAATGTAGTCATTTTTCTATCCACACTGCTATACGTTGGGCCTAACGTAGACTATCTGTTTTCTGGACTGCTGCGAGAGCCTTTTCAGTTAATCCCTTGCCACTCTTGGTTTTTTCAGACAGGGTCTTGCTGTAGCTCAGGCTGGCCTTGAACTCACTATGCAGCCTAGGCTGGCCTCAAACTCAGCAATCCTCCTGCCTCAGCCTCTGGAGTGTTGGAATTACAGGCGTGTGTGCCAGCATGCCTGACTTTTTGCCACTCCTTAACCCGTATCATTCTAATTTCCACAATGCAGATAAATTGTTTTTAAAGCACAAATCAGATGGTATTGCTCCAGGCTGTGACTGCTCCCTCCTCTGTGGTTTCCTTTGACACTGAAAATACAAACTCCTTTTTCTTGGCCTGCAAGATCCAGTGTGATCTATTTCCTGGCTACCATTTTTTTTTTTTTTTGGTCTGTCAATTTTTTTTTTACTTTTATTAGTACATGTTTGCAGGACATAATGATTACATTCACAGTAGGGAATTGGTATATATACATAACACATTTCGATTCCCTTCTCCCTCATCCCCCTTTTATTTTTCCAGCATCAGACCTTAGAAAGATAATTATCATAAGACCTTAGAAAGATAAATATAATATATATATATATATAGAGAGAGAGAGAGAGAGAGAGAGAGAGAGATTGAAAACCAGATTAATAGGCTAAAGAACATAAAACATGTAAGACAGTTGTACTAGACCAAGGTACACTATTAGATACATTACCCACACTAGATAACAATGCTTTTTTCCTATTATTTGTCTTTTATTTTGCTGTATGTATGTATAGAGAGAGGGAGAGGGAGAGAGTTTCTCATGTAAGAGAAACCATCTATAAGCTTGTGTGTCAGAGTTACTTAATACTATGATCTCAAGGTGCACCTATTTTCTTACAAATGACAAGTTTATCCTTTTTATGGCAGAGAAGTGTTTGTATAAATACCATGTTTTTATCTGTTGATGAGCATATATGCTGTTTCCAAGATTCAGCTATTGTGAATTACGCTGCTATGAACATGGATATGCATATATCACTGTGATATGATATCTCTTTTGAGAAGATATCTAGAAGAGAAATAGCTAGGTCAAGTTGAATTTCTAGTTTTCGTTTTTTGAGGAATCCCCAAAGTGGTTGTGTTAGTTTACAGTCCCACCAACAATGCAAAAGGTTCTTTTCTCCCCACAGCCTCCCCAGCATTTGTTATTGGTTGATTTCTTTTGGGTACCTGGCTACCTTTTTTTAACATCTTTCATTCCCTTTATCTCTTCCATTTCTACTCTCTCCACACTGGTGTTGCTGTTTCTTTTAACACACAAGGCTCTTTCTTATTTTGACATCTTAGTATGCACCCCCGCAAACACCCTTCCACCAGATCTTCACATGGTAGGTTCCTTCTGCGCACTGAAATCTCAGCTTGAAGATCCTCTCAGAGAGACTTTCTTTGAACACATAGTTCACAGTAGATTCCTACCCCATCCAATTTCTATCACATCACTATATTTAATATTAGTTACTTTTTTATTAACTCTTAACTCCCCACCATTGCTCCCCTCACCTTATGTGAGCGCCCTATTTTATTTTTTTATCCCTGGTATCTAGAGTTATACTTGCCAAGTAAATTATGTTAAGTAGTTATTTATTGAATACATGAATTAATACATGGAAAATATTTCTTTCCTGAGAATGCTTAGTCAGGCCACCAATTAGGCTTTTTAACTATGCAGTTTTGACTTAGCAGTGATGAAGGGGAGTGCATAAAGATTAAAAACAAAACTGAAGAGGGATGGAGAAAATAAGAGTGGAGAATGTAAGATTGAGTTCATGAAATGAATTAGTTTTGAATGTGCTTATGTGATGTCGTCATTCTAAGAGCAAACTTATATTGGCCAAGGTTCAGCTGATAAATGTTACCTTGGCAAGTTGTTACTATTTCTATTTAAATCAAGGGTTTTTTGAAAAAGCTAACCTATAGGTTTTGTGTCCCAGATAGTTAACTTATTTACTGCATGCCTGTTATATATTAGGTACTATGTACTAAATGTGGGAATCCAGGCAGATATGATCCCTGTCTTTGGGGGCAAAAAGGACTATTTGGCTGATTAACGATAAATTGACACATGTTTCTGTATAGAACATACACAGTAATGTCCCCTCAAAAGAGAGTTAAGAATTCCCAGGCACAAAAAAGAACTTCACAAGGAAGGAATACTTATCAAACCAGTCTCTCAGCCTGGAAAGTAAAAGAGAAACCAAGTGACTCAAATATCTGGAAACAAAATCCAGTGGAAGCTCACGAACATGTGGATGATCAAGCTGAAGACACTCTGCAAATGGCAGTGGGATACTTTGAGAAAGGTAAAGGCTCATTGTTTTCCTTAGGCACTTTTTGTTTTTAGTCTTTTCCTTAAGATTTTTTAAAGGAAAGCATAGTTTTGCTCATTTACCCTTTTATTTACTTAATAGGCATTTATTGAGCAGTTACTACATGTCAGTATGCAATGTACTACAGATGCAACCACGAAACATCTTCCCAGCAGAGGTTGCCAAACGGCCACATATAGTGATCACCTGAGAATCTTTGAAATACACTGATGCCTCACATCCACTCTTAAGACATTCTTATTCTTTTGGTACTGGGTTCAGGTTGTATTGGGACTTTTTAAAGGCTTCCTAGGTAATGCAAGTCAATATACAGCAGTGTGTGAACCATTGTTCTAATTTTGGAAAAGAATATATAAAATATGTTCAACCTTTTGGCTTGCCTGGGCCACAATGAGTGAAGAGGAGTTGTTTTGGGCTACATACAAAATACATAATATAGTTAATGTATATAAGTAACGAAATTTCCTTTTTTTATATTTGCTGTTATAACATTAAAAAAGAACAAGTAGCCTTTGGACCACAGGCTGGACACACCTGGAAGTTGAATGCTTTTAGCTTAGAGCAAGGAAGATAGATCATGACTGATCAGTTTTCCTTGCTGAGAATACTATTGCTATTGATATTCTAGAGTTTGTTTGTTTGTTTATTTTTGTTGGGTTTTTTTTTTTGAGACAGGGTCTCACTGTGTAGTTCAGGCTGGCCTTGAACTCACTATGTAGCCCAGGCTGACCTTGAACTCATGGCAATCCTCCTGCCTCAGCCTCTCCAGTGCTGGGATTATAGGCGTGCAGCACCATGCTTGGCTGGCTATTCTAGAGTTTTAAAGACTTTAAAGGGTTTTTAAGAAGTTTTTTTAAAGTTTTTATTTTATTAGTACATGTTTGCAGTATATAATAATTGCATTCATTGTGGGAATTTGGTACTTGTACATAATACATCTCAATTCTTTTTTTTCCCTTTCCCTATACATGTCCCTTTTGATGGCATCAGATTCATTTATGATGACATTTTTTACATGAAACAATTCTTTTAAAGAATCCCAAGTTGTAAATGTGGAGCCTGAGAACTGAAAGAATTTTAAGTCTCACTATTTAATATTGTTCCTTTTTCCAGGTCCCATTAAAACTTCGCAACGTAAAAATACAATTTTGGAAAAACACTTGAAAACTGTGGAAAATGTGGCTTGGATAAATGGATTAGCTCCAGAAACAATTGACATTTTATTGAATGTGGCACTCAGTGGCAAATTTGGTATGTTGAAGGGATACCTTTGTCATATGTTTGCTGTTAGATTTGCTTGTCAGGCTTTGAATTAACTTATTCTTTGGGACCAGTTACAGTTCTTTATTTTTACTATTCTCTTTTTAAGACCAATTTGGTAAGATTATAAAATGGGCCTTTCCTGTGTTTAGACTGAGCCAAAAAAGTTTCTATCTGTGTATTGTTGAAAATAATCAGCACATATCTTTGCAAATAAAATGTATAGATTCTTTTCACCAAATATTAGGAGATATTTTAGTATTTTTCTTTAAAAGAATAGATAATAATTTAAATAATGTTGCCTGAAGTCATCTTAAGAGATTAGTCTATTTCATTGCCTCTAGGTTTATTTATCTCTGCCAAGACCTTAATTATACTGTCTGCATCTCAATTTCTCTGACCTTAATAGTCAAAGCCATTTTTCTTTTGTGCAAATATTGTCTTTCTTGGGCTGAGTTTGTTGGTTGGGGGATGGGGGTGGGAAATGTTCTTACAAATAACACCTGGTCAGTATTCTTTCTATTTATATAATAAAGAATTTTCCCACCTTCTCTCATCCAAATTCAGACAAAGTATTTTAGACTCCAAATATCCTTATTTTCCAGATGAGGAAACAGGTCCAGAGTGGTTAGAGATATTCTTAATGTCAGGGCAAAACCCAGAAAGTCAGATTTTCTAACTCCCATTCTAGTGTTTATACTGTACCACATTGCTACTGTTTTCTCTATTAATACAGCTACCAAAATTTGATGCTTTAGTATATCCTGGCTTTTGTACATTGGTTTCCTTTGTGTATATCCTAGCATCTTGTTTATAGGTGTGTATATGTTTTAAAGTAACAACATAGTACTAGCTGAATTTAATACATGACTCAAGTACATTGGACCCTCAAGTTACGACCGGCCTGACATATGATCAGCTTAGGTTAATTAGGTTAATGGAAGATTCATCAGCCTCTTGCTATCTGTAGCATATACTCAGATAACCATCCAGATATCAGCTGTATTGACTTACAACCAACTTGACTTACAGCCAGCCCTTGGGGACTTACTGAGTTTGTAAGTCAAGGGTCCACTGTATTTTGGTTTGTTATATATACATGCTATCATAATTAGATGAATTCTTCTTTTGGATTTGGTATATAGCTAAGGTGTTAGTGGTAAGATTATTTAAAACTTTAAAAGGGTTAGTGGATATGAGTGGGAGAGAGAAAAAGAGATAAACACTAAGAAACTTCAGTGGAAAAAGGGGTTTTATTCTTGTGATTTTCTTATCTGTCATTGTTGCTTTCTTTAATACAGTGATGGGGTAGAAATTGCTGAGATATATTTTTAATTCTTTTCCCCTTCGGTACCAGGGATTGAACTCAGGACCTTGTGCTTGTAAGGCAGGCATGGCACAACTGAGCTAAATCCCCAGCACTATATTTTAATTCTTGAAGCCATAATGTACTAAAGTTGATATTGGGTATATATACTAAACCCAGAGTCTGTCATCGTTGTTGTCTTCTTCCTTCTCTTCCTCGTCCTCTTCTTTTTTGCAGTATTGGGTACTGAATCCAGGGCCTTTATACTTACCTACCTCCTTAGCTCATTTTTATTTTGAGAAGTAGGTCTTGTTAAGTTGCCCAGACTGGGCTCAAATTCAGAATCCTCCTGCTTCACAGAGTGCTGGGATTACAGGCATGCACCACCACACCTGGCTAACATCACTCTATTAGCAGATGAGAAAACACCATGGATGCCAGAGAACAGGATGGAAATATTAGACTAGTGTCGAATATTACTCTACCTGATTCTAGGATATCTGTTCCATTTTTCTATCCTCCCCTTTTATTGAAGGTATGGAGAATAAAACTGTATTTATTATTAAATGTAGCAGCATGCGCAAGAAGTCCATTTGTAGCTATAAATAAATAAATATTTTGTGTCATGAAAAATAATAACTGAAATTTTCCTGTTATTAAGAGCAATTTTTGAGCTATAATTAATGCCATAAAATTCGTGCTTTATAAGATTTGGTGTTATTTGGGAGGCTGAGAGAAAGAGCATCATCAGTTCAAACTTAACCTGGGCAACTTAGCAACGTGGTGAGACCCTTTTATTTTGTTCTTTATTTATATTTTGGGTTTCTCATATAACAGAAACCATGTGATATTTAAGCTTACATGTCTATTTTATTTTACTTACATTATGATCTCAAGGTGTACCCATTTTCCTACACATGACCCAAGTTTATCATTCTTTGTGGCAAAGTACTATTCTATTCCATTGTGTATAAATACCACATTTTCTTTATTCATTCATCTGTTGATAGACATACAGGCACTTCCATGATTTAATTATTATAAACTATGCTGCTATTAACATGAGTGTGCATGTATCACTATAATATGTCTTTAACTCAGGAAGATACCTAGAAGAGGCATAACTGGATCAAATGGAATTTGTATTTTTAGCTTTTTGAGGAATCTCCACACTGATTTCCATGGTGGTTGTACGAATTTATACTCCCACCCACAATGTAGAAGAGTTTCTTTTTCCCCACCTTTCCACATTTGTTATTATTTGATTTCTTGTTGACAGCCATGTTTTCTGAAGATGGAATCTCAGTGTTGTTTTAATTGGTATTTCTGTAATGGCCAGAGATGTTGGATATGTTTTCATGTATTTATTGGCCATATGTACTTCTTTGAAGTATTTATTCATTTCAGTTGCCCATTTTTTGATAGGGTTTGTTTTTATTTTGGGGGGTTCTAATATTTTTGAGTTCTTTACATATTCTGGACATTAGTCCTCTATCTGAAAAATAACTGGCAACAAAGTTCTCCCATTCTGTAGGCTGTCTCTTTACTCTATTGATTGTATCCTTTGCTGTGAAGAGGCTTTTTAATTTGATATAGTCCCATTTCTTGGTTCTTGAAGTTACTGTGTGATTGAAGTTTTATTCATAAAGTTCTTGTCTTCTCATGCCTTCAATAATTTTACCATTTTATCTTCCAATAAATTGTTTCTGTTTTAACATTTAGGTCTTTGATCCATTTTTATTTTGGTTTATTACATGGTGAGATATATGGGTCTAAATTCAATTCCCTGTGGATAGTCAGGTTTCCCAGAACCATTTTTGCAAGAGACCATCTTTCCTCGGTATTATGTTTTGGCCCCTTTGTTGAAGATAAGGTAGCTGAATGTGCCATTCCCAGATTATTTTCATTAATTAAAAAAGAAACCTTTTGCTCATCCCCCCTTTTAAATTAGGAATATTGGGCCAAATAATTTGCTCTATAGTTTATTTTAAAAGTTAAAGGTACACTTTTGTTTTGAATTGTTTGTTTAATGATGATAAGGGGATGTTAAATATTATATACTTTTTATTGGTTTCAATATAATGTGAGCTTTTTATGACCAACAGTGAAGTATAGTAAATGGACAGTGGCAACACTAAAATATAATTTAATGTAGTTTGTCTGCTCTCTAGGAAATGCTATAAACACACGGATATTGAAGTGCATGATTCCAACTACTTTAATATCAGAAGATTCTGTGGTTAAAGCAATCTCTTGGCTCTGTGTTGGCAAGTGTTCTGGTAACACCAAGGTAATCTTTTTAAAAACTTTGATGATGTCCTTCAGAGCCACTTAAAGGCTGGCAAGGAAGAGCCACTTAGGGAGTAATGGTGGTGGCTTTTTGTACAAAGCCTGTACTTTTGGAACAATATAGCTCAATGAAAGAACTCCTCAAACAGAAATTTTTACTGAGAAATAAAATCAGTTATTCTACTTTGTGCTAGAAGCTTCTAAAACAGGTTAGGCATGTAGAATTAAGCTCTTTGCCAGTGAACTATATTAGGACATTTCTAAATATAAGCATTTTGTTATTCTACAGGTACTTTTTTATCGTTGGCTGGTTGCAATGTTTGACTTCATTGATCATAAGGAACAAATTAACTTGCTTTATGGGTTTTTCTTTGCTTCATTGCAAGATGATGCACTGGTAAGTACACATTAGACAGCATTGAGTATCAGTCAAGTAGTACATGTGTATATATTGATATACCATATGTGCTTCTAGGTGCTACCCAATATATTTTAAAATATATAAATATATAGAAAATTCAAAAAATAACATAAAAAACATTTTTAAAAACCCTGGTACCATGTCTCAGATTAACAAATACAAAATTTTTGCAGTATTTATATCTTCTTTTAAGGAAATAAAAATATACAGGTAAGGATTTATTCCACATTGGAGTCTCTTTGCTGGTCTAGAGCAGGGATTACCATTTTTTCCCCTTTTAAACCACTTACAGAGTCCTTTGGGTCACTTTACATTTTCTTGATTAATGTGCTCGCTTTGGCAACACATATACATTTTCTTGATTAACACTGCAAAACTTCATTATAATTAATGAAAAGGAGAGGTTTACTTTTTTGTGAATTGCCAGTAGACTGATTTTGATTAAATAGCATAATTATTCCCATTAAAAACATTAATAACTCAAAGACAGTGATGGCAAACTTTCAGAGCTTTCATTTATACAAACAGCCTGCTGGGGCACATGTACCATAAGTTTACCACCACTGCTCTGAGAAATTAATCTGTCTACCTGGATGACTTTCAAGGACCACCAAAGTTCACAAACCATGTGAGCCACTCATCTAACTGCATTCCTCTTGGGTTTGGGAAAGGAATTCATTCATTTCGTTTTATAAAATTCATTTTTCTATCATGATCCTTGGATTATACTGGGCGCTGTAGAAGACTCAAAATTTGGTAGAGTTTCTGTACTCCAAAATTTTAGAGTTTAGTTTCGGAAATAAGGAAAGCACATATAATTAAATAACAATTCAAAAGTTAAGATTATCAGACAGTGTATGACAAGAGGAAATGTTTGATATAATGGAACTATTTCAAGCAAAGTTGCAAAATGTGTAAATTATGTTTTAGGAGACCTTATATAAGGTGAGTCTGACTTAATTGACATGGTATTTGGTATTGATGAGCAATAAGGCTGAAAAAAATTGAGTGAGGAGAGATTGTAGAGGTCTTTTAGTATGGAATTGGATTTTATTCTCTATTCAGTGAGGAAATCACTGAAAATTTTTAAACTGAATATGTTGAAAGCAGCTTTATAGGAAGTTGTTTATAGTAATGCCAAGTAGGAATTACGAGAGATACTCAATGAAGGTAGAAGAATTAGGAGGCTGACATAATAATCCAGGATGAAATCCTATACTAAATAGTTTCGAAATATGATCTGTGGACCCCTGGAGCCCCCTGAGTTCCTTTCAGGAGATCTGAGGTGAAAGTCACTTTCATAATACCAATGTATTATTTGCTCTTTTCACTATGTTGATATAGGCAGTGATGGTGCTAAAGCAACGGTGTGTAAAACTGCTGACACTTTAGCGCAAATGGCACCAAACTGTACTAGTGGTCTTCATTGCAGTATTCCCCAGTGCAGTAAAAATCAGAAATGCTAGTGTCACTTAAGATAAGTCCTTATTGAAGCAATACAAATTTATTATTTTTATTAAATCTTGACACATGCTCTCAATGTTCCTGTGTGGTAAAATACAAAACCTTTTGGCATACTTAGGTATAATAGGTATAATGGTAGTTCTGAGGAAAAGCTTTGAATGAGTTATGTGCTAAATAGCTGCTTTTTTCATGGAACATTATTTGAAAGAATGACTCACATACAAACTGGTTATTCAGTCTTGGGTATTTGGAAGACAGTGAACCTGACAGCTTCTTGATATTAAAAAAAAATGTTAATGCCTAATGGTGATACAGATGGCAATAATAATGAGTGTAATTTTTAGGTATCATAATGAGATGGGTCAACATGCAGAAGCTTGATCTAACTCTGAATCAGTATTTTCCAGATGATGAAGCATAATGTTACAAAGTCATGTATCAGTAAAAGATCCATTTGAAGGACAAGATGTATCAATAAAGTATAATGGAACAGACTTCAAAGATTTCATTCATAAAGTTTCAGATTCCATATTAAAGCTAAGAAATCACCTATTTTCAAGTTTTGTAGTAGTATCAAAGACTAATAGCCACAATTATTTTTTCAGTGCTAGATATTGAACCTACGACCTTGTATCTGCTAGGCCAGTGATGGTGAACCTTTTAGAGCTTTTAATGATACAAACAGTCCACTGGGGCACACCTGCCATCGGTTCACTGCTACTGTCCTAGGCAAACTTCTACTGGCCAGAGCCCCAGCCCTACAATATTCTGAAAGGCTATTAAAATATTCCTCCCTTCTCCAACTGCGTATCTTGTGTGAGGCTAGATTTTATTTATGTAATTCCATCAGACAAACACATGTTAACAGATTTGTGCAGGAGCAGAGAATGAAACTTATTTTATTAAACTAGAAGCATTAAAACATTATAGAGAGCTGCAGAGGTGGTGCAGTGGCAGGTAGAATGCTTGCCTGTTGTGCATGTGGCTCTGGATTCAATTCCCAGGATCTCACACACAAACATACACACATACATAAATATTTATGTTTATATCTATATGTGTGTGTGTGTGTGTGTGTGTATACACACACATATATTTATAGAAATGTAACACAGTATTACTATTTTATTTTTGTTTGGGAAATAGTTACTTTTCATAGTATGTTTCAGTCTACCATATAATTGAGTTTATTATTAATGAAATTAATATACATTAAAATCTTTTTCTTTGGAGTACAAAACCCAGGGCTTTCTCACTGAATGCCTTTTTTAAAATATTGTTGAGGCAAGGTCTCACTCAGTTGCCCAGGCTGGGCTCAAACTTATATTCCTCCTACATCAGCCTCTCAGCGTGCTGGGATTACAGGCATGTGCCACTGTGGCTGGCCCATTTTCTCAATTTTGATTTCTAATATGTTGAGTATCATCAGATATCCAGATAAAAGTTTCGGGGTTTCTATAATTTTTAAGATCATGAAAGGTATTAAAACCAAAAAATTTGAGAATCACTCTCCTAAACTAAGGAATTGGCAGTACAAATGAAAGGACGGATTTTAGGGGAGATTGTAAAAGAAGAATTGACATGACCTAGTGTCCAAACTGGATTAGGAGAAGAGATAGGAGTTAAAGATCTGAGTTTGTTAGTCAGCATGACTTATTGTGACAGTAAGAGGAAATTAGGAGGAGCTAGTTTGGGAAGGATTATATATTTAGATTTAGATGTACAGAGTTAGAAGTCACAAGACATCTTATAGAAATTCACTCAGTGAGTACGTATTTAGTAACTACAAACTATGCCAGGCACTTACCTAGTGCCAGGAATACAAATATGAATGATATAATAGCTATTGTATGTGAAATGGATAAGCTGGGTGCTAAGTTCTTTATATACACATTATTTCATCCAGTTTAAGAAGCACCATTATCTCTTGAACCACCAAGAAAGAATATTTCCCTTAAACTCATAACATCAATTATAGGACTAGGGATTTAGCTCAGTGGTTCCACCACCTGCCTCGCAAGTACAAGGTCCCGAATTCGATCCCTGGGTACAAAAAAAAAAATCAATTACAGAATTAGTCTTATTTTCAGAGATGATAAAATTTTAAAAATACACACATACATACATACATACATACATACATACATACATACATATATTTTTTTCCAGGCCTGAGAATCTGAAAGATTTTTCATTCTTACATCAATAGTCTTAAAAATTTTATTGAGCATTTATTGATTTCTTTATTTGTTCTGACCAATACAGTATCCACTAGGTTCATGTAACTAGTGAGCAGTAGAAATTGGCTAGGCTATAAGTGTAAAACATATACTAGCTAAAGTATAGTTTTAAACCATTTAAACCTCTTAATAATGTTATGAGGTATACACTACAAACATTCCCCATTTAACAGCTAAGTTATGGTCCTTTGACTACGTCAATAAGTGAATTGAACACTAAATGAGGCACTGTGTATAGTGTGTACATTACAATATTCAGAGCAAAGAAATGGAGAAATGAAACTCCAAACTTCATGATTTTGCTTTTATTTGCTTAACTCTTATGTTCAGAGCTATAATGTATAACAGCATAAAACTACAGTATTACTGTATGAATGAACAAGACATACTGTACAAAAAGACATTGAGGCTCTATGAACAAGATGTACAGGACTGGGGAAAAAAAGATGGGTGGTATGTCCAAGTGGCAGGTCGTAAGTCCAAACAGTTGTTAAACAGGTAGGTCATTAAAGGAGGAATATCTGTATTATTTCCATTTTAGGATGAGGAATCTGAGGTACAGGGGAGTCAGATAATTACCCAGGATTATATGATTCATGATAAATTAATTATTCTCATTTTAGGGGTGGGACAACTGAGCTAAGGAAAGTTAAGTAACATTGCTAGGGTAAGCTATCTAGTCAGAGGCTGAGCCTAAAGGATCTTTAAATATAATGGGGAGAGAGAGAAGTACAGTGTGATCAGCCCTATGATAATGTCCACTGGATTCTTTGGACTTCAGAGGAAAGGTATCAGAATAAGACTAAGGATCTGGGAGATCATTATTAGGCAAGAGGAAGGGAATATGGTGGGGGCTTAAGGACAGTTAATAAATAAAGGGGATAAATATGGTCAAAATTCATTATACATACTGACTCTCCCAAATGTGATAACAGGAGAAGGTGTGGCCAGAGGGGTGATGGGGTTGAGATGATTAAGATATGTTATATGCATGTACAAATCTGCCAAAGTGAAACCCATTACTCTAAAACTAATACGCACTGATAAAAAGTATGGGAAAAAGTTATAGGAATTTGTTTTTGACAGGAAGAGAGATAACCTCTCCTGCTAAGGACAGGTATAATCTTCATGGTTAATATTTATTTATTTTGGCAGTATGGTCAATTAAACAGAGGGCCTTTGTACTGAACTACATTCTCAGCCCTTTTTAAATGTTTTATTTTGAGACAGGGTCTTGCTAAGTTGCTAAAATGTTCAGGCTGGGTTCCAACT